GAATTAAGCAGTTGGATGACCTCTTGCAATGTAGTCACACATTTTGATCTTAAAATTATTGGGCTACACAGCACCTTCTAGATTGGGAGTAAAACCAATCTATGGAACACCCAGCCCTGGTCTCCCCTACACACTGTGCAGTTATTGAGCGGTTATTGTTCTGTTTATTCCCGCATGTTGTAAGACCAGTGAAAGTTAAAATTGGGACATTCAAGTGTTTCTGCTTGATTAAGGCTATCATAGATGGATTGAAGGTAACATTCTGTTCAATAAACAAATTACTAGCATTATATTTTGCATTTTCTGAAGTGAACAAATATTTTAGGAGAATGTAAAATATATATAGCCTATAGAACAAATAGCAGTGAACAAGAAAGAGCAGTGCGATGGTAGCATACATTGGGTGGTGAAAAATCAATACAATGTTGCACTGATGTATTGGGAACACACAGGACAGGCAGAGAGATTATCACATTGAAAAATACCATTCTTAAGAGTCCTGCCCTAAGGCCCTGCCCCTTTTTTTTGCGCGCCGTCGGCACCATTCGGACTGGTCTAATTTGCTAGTTGGGCCATGGGGTGGGGGCTTTGCGATTAGTTGGTTCTGGGGGTGTTGGAATCTGATGGTTGTTGGCTGTATATCATTTGAGTTTAACATTATACTGACACCACAAAAGGGGTTCACTGTGTGTTGTGTTGTATTGGACTTGACCCAAACCTGTAGTTTTTTTTATTTAGGGCAAAAAGTTAGGGCCTTGTTGCAAACAGAATGGATGATTTGGAGTGGATTTTTTTTAACACAGGCTTCATTCTTTTCACTTTGTCATACAAGCCAGTAATGTGGAGTGAATGTAATGTTGTAGATCCTCTGTATTTTCAAGTATTGTTGTGGCAGCATTGTGTTATGCATATGCTTGTCACCTGCAAGGACTGGGTAGTTTGTCAGGATCCCCCAGATATATGAAAGGAGCAAAAGCCCCGGTAAAAAGTTAGAGGAAAACCCGCCATAGTCTAATTGGATCCACTGGATCCAGGCCTGAGGGATCTAATATTAGAGAGCTGTTCATCAGATGAGACCAGTAACACACATACTATTGGTGTATAGTGGTGTAGTTAACCATTGACTGACTGTCAGTCTCTTTCCCCACTATAGACACACACACACCTGGTCACTCCTACCATATTCAATTACTAGGGGCTATGTAATAAACCCTTAAAGTTCCAGAATGGAGTGAAAATGGCAGCCATATATTTCAGGAAGAAATCCAAACCAGTCTAATTGGAATGAATGGCAGTAGAGGCATAATCCAGATTTTACTTATAAAGGACAATAAAAGTAAGGCATGTGATATATCAGAAATTGTGTAGTAGAATTATTGCCAACCTAAAATATTGTCATATAATTATAAATACAGTTTGTACAGATTTTATACACTTTCTGTATACAAAGCCTCTAAAATATATGTAAACAGAACATAAATATCTCAATTTTTGTTTTCTTGGAAAAATCTGAGCGCTATTATGTGATACAATATCAGTACTTGCTGCATTTACAACTTGTCTTAAGTCCTATCATCAACTGATTTCAGCCAGTGTATGGCCGTGGATTGACTGCATTGTTTGAATGGAATGTTGGCATATTGGCAGTTAATATAAAAAATGTATGGAGGCATTCTACTAAAACTGGCTAGCTAGCTAGCTAACAAACATACAGTGCAGATCAATTCTTCAAATTCATTATTTTACACAGTGTCTTATCACAGCACTGGCAAACCATGGTTGACCAATTCCCTGACCAAAATAGCTGACCTTTATCCCATCATAAAAAGGTTCATGTCCATTGTAGTATTCTAATTCCTAATTCTATGACTCCTACTGTGTCACGATCGTCGACTGAAGACACGGACCAAGGCGCAGCGTGATAAGCGTACATTTTATTTGTACTCAACACACGATCAAAACAACAAACCAAACGATACGTGAAGTCCTAGGTTAACACCAAAACAAACCTTACGGAACAAGATCCCACCAAGACTAGTGCAAAACAGGCTGCCTAGGTATGGTCCCCAATCAGAGACAACGAGCTACAGCTGCCTCTGATTGGGAACCACCCTGGCCAACATAGATCTAAACGATCTAGAACAAAACATAGAAAAACTAAACATAGAAAAATCCACACCCTGGCTCAACCTTTAAGAGTCCCCAGAGCCAGGGCGTGACAGTCCCCCCCCCCCCCCCCCCCCCCCCCCAAAGGCGCGGACTGCGACCGCGCCACACAAACACAAGAGGGTAGGGGCCGGGTGAGCATTCCGCCTCGGAGGCGGATCCGGCTCCGGGCGTGACCACCACTCTCTCTCCACCCCCCCGTTGCGCCCCTGATCTGGTCTGGCCCCGCTGGCCGGAGCTGGACTGGACACCGGTGGAGCGGATTGCTCTGGCTCCGGAGTGGAGCAGCTGACCGGTGCCGGACCAGGCACCGGTGGAACAGGCACGGGCCGTGCCGGACTGGACACACGCACCACTGGCTTGGTGCGGGGAGCAGGAACGGGCCGGACCGGGCTGACGACGCGCACCACTGGCTTGGTGCGGGGAGCAGGAACGGGCCGGACCGGGCTGACGACTCGCACCACTTGCTTGGTGCGGGGAGCAGGAACGGGCCGGACCGGGCTGACGACGCGCACCACTGGCTTGGTGCGGGGAGCAGAAACAGGCCGGACCGGGCTGGCGACGCGCACCACAGGCTTGGTGCGAGGGACAGGAACAGGCCGGACCGGGCTGGCGACGCGCACCACTGGTTTGGCGCGAGGGGCAGGAACAGGCTGGACCGGGCTGGCGATGCGCAATACAGGCTTGGTGCGAGGGACAGGAACAGGCCGGACCGGGCTGGCGACGCGCACCACTGGTTTGGTGCGAGGGGCAGGAACAGGCCGGACCGGACTGGCGACGCGCACCACTGGCTTGGTGCGTGGGACAGGAACAGGCCGGACCGGGCTGGCGACGCGCACCACTGGCTTGGTGCGGGGAGCAGGAACAGGCCGGGCTGGACTGGGAACACCCACCATTGGCTTGGTGCGGGGAGCTGGAACGGGCCGGGCCGGACTGTGGAGGCGGACTGGAGGTCTGGAGCGGAGAGCTGACATAACCCGTCCTGGCTGAATGCCTATTTCCGCACAATATGTGTGAGGCATCAGCACAGGACGTACAGGGCTGTGCACTCGTACTGGCGCTACAGCACGTGGCACTGGCGCAGGATATCCGGGACCGAGGAGGGGTACTGGAGGCCACGAGCGTTGAGCCGGCACACCCCGTCCTGGCTGCATGCCCACCTTAGCACGACACGTGCGTGGTGCTAGCACAGGACGTACAGGACTGTGCCGGAACACTCGCGGCACAGTACGTGGCTCCGCATAACACGGAGCCTGCCCAGTCTCCCGCTTCCTAGCCTGAGTACGGGGAGTTGGCTCTGCTCTACCTCTAGGCTCCGCCAACCACCCTTTTAGCCCCCCCAAAAAAATGTATTGGGGCTGTCTCTCTGGCTTCCTCCTCGGCCTGTACCCTCTGCGTTGCCGCTGCTCCTCTCTGTAGCGCGCCTCCACAGTCTCCTCTCTGCCTGGGCATTCACCTTTGCCCATGGCCCTTTCCCCGCGAAGATCTCCTCCCAAGACCACCATTTACCCACCTGCGACATCGCCATCTTCTCCTCCTGGGCACGCTGCTTGGTCCTCTTATGGTGGGATCTTCTGTCACGATCGTCGACTGAAGACACGGACCAAGGCGCAGCGTGATAAGCGTACATTTTATTTGTACTCAACACACGATCAAAACAACAAACCAAACGATACGTGAAGTCCTAGGTTAACACCAAAACAAACCTTACGGAACAAGATCCCACCAAGACTAGTGCAAAACAGGCTGCCTAAGTATGGTCCCCAATCAGAGACAACGAGCTACAGCTGCCTCTGATTGGGAACCACCCTGGCCAACATAGATCTAAACGATCTAGAACAAAACATAGAAAAACTAAACATAGAAAAATCCACACCCTGGCTCAACCTTTAAGAGTCCCCAGAGCCAGGGCGTGACATACTGGGTCTCTACAGTATAGGCACAGCAGCACCATGACAGCTCCACACAGACACACACGCCCAGGCTGGCTCCTTGGTGATGAATAATTTATATGTTTCTGATCACATGGACCGGCTTCTGAATAACTTCCAGTCTGGCCTTGGCTGCTCTCTACAGAGGATATGGAACCAAGTTAAAGCTCCTCTATCTGCCGATTCCTTGGGAGAAAGCACCAAACGGGCTAGTGTTCATTCTCCTTTGTGTGTGAGATGAAAAACTAGAGATGTGTTTTACTGTGTGTATCATGTTATTCACCTCTGTTGTGGCCTCATCTGTCTGTCAGTCACTTGTAGGTTCTATATCATGAAGCAGCAGCCTACATATGGAAACCAGTTTTTTTCCCCATAGACTTCTCATTTTATTTCTTTCCTCAGGGAAATGTATCTTGTTTAAATCAGTCCATTAATAATTAAATTGTCTGTAGTGTAAGTTAGAGTTGTAGACTGAGGATAGTTTGTTGTCAGCTGAAGTTGGTGTGGCTCTCCACTGTGACGGGGGATCAGGTGCTGTCTGATTAATGTTTTAGAAGGAGTCTCACTCTAGTGAGAGGAGAAAAGATGACGCCTGGGTATTCTAGTGTTCAAGTTATAGGCTAACTGGCATCACCTATAACCCACTCACCAATGACCAATTGTCTGTCTGTCCGTCAATCTGTCTGACTAACATTTACAACAGCAAAAGTGGTTTTCTGTCTTTTTACAGAGAGACCTCAGAGCAAACTTCAACTCCAGAACAGTGTGGACTGATGCTGTCATGGATACCCTCTGAGAGAGAGAGCTCTCCAAATGAGAGGGAAATCATGATAAAGGATGAATACATAGGAAAGGAGGAAACACACACACACACCCCTCCCCTGTTCCCACCGCTATGGCAGAATGGCTGAGGCGTGTGTTGTGAGGCAGTGCATGGTACAGCCTGTACTCCCGCCTGCTCAGGACCAAACCTGTCGGCAGGATGGGTCAGGGTCAGAGGTCAGCAATGACATCACAGAGGTGGGCGAGCTGGCTAGGGTCCTGACGACAGCTGACCTGGTGTCGCTAGGGGTGGGGAGCTGCGTTGGCACGGGGATGTACATGGTTGCCGGGCTGGTCGCCAAGGAGATGGCAGGGCTGGGAGTGATCCTGTCCTTCATCATTGCTGCTGTGGCTTCTATACTGTCAGGTCAGACACACACACACACACACACACACACACACACACACACACACACACACACACACACACACACACGGCTGTGGCTTCTATACTGTCAGGTCAGACACACACACACACGGCTGTGGCTTCTATACTGTCAGGTCAGACACACACACACACACACACGGCTGTAGCTTCTATACTGTCAGGTCAGGGACACACACACACATATTTGTGTTTGTCGTAGTTTGACGTGTATGTGTGTTTAACCTGGGTCAAATGTGTGTCTCTCCTCCAGGTGTGTGTTATGCAGAGTTCGGCATGCGTGTCCCTAAGACAACAGGATCAGCCTACACCTATAGCTACGTCACAGTGGGAGAGTGTACGGCCTTTTTCATTGGCTGGAATCTGATCCTCGAGTACCTGATTGCTACTGCAGCCGGAGCGTCGGCTCTCAGCAGCATGTTTGACTCGCTGGCCAATCACAGCATCTCCAGCTACATGATAACACTCCTGGGGACACTCAGAGGCCTGGGTGAGTGAGTATGTGTATGTGTTTGTATGTGCCTATAATCTCTCTCCCCCCCTTCCCTTCCCTGCAGGTAAAGGGGAGGAGACGTACTCTGATGTCCAGGCCATGGCCATATCGCTGGTTGTCACTGTGATTGTGTGGTTGGGGTTTTGTAACTCAGTGGGGTTGAATAACGTTCTGAATGTGATGTGGTGCTTCCTGGACATCGCTGGACTCTTCTTCCTGTCCGCTGACAACTGGGAGGCGGGTAACTTCCTGCCTACGGATGGTCTGGGGTAAGAGATATGGTCAGCTAAACACACTCACACACACACACCTAAGCCTCTCTCTCCTGTGAGATGAAGGGAGTGGCCACCTATTTCTATGCCCTCATAGGGTTCCAAAAAAAGGTTATTTGGCTGTCCCCATAGGAGATCCCTTTTGGGTTCCATGTAGAACCCTCAACATGGGTTCTACATTGAACCCAAAAGGGTTCTACCTGGAACCAAAAAGGGTTCATGTTATGATGAGTTTCTAGGGTATCAAGTAATTCATGATGCAAGAAGATATTTAACACATAGATGGAGAGTTCATTCAAATATTTAATATGTACCATGGTTCACATAACAAAATGACCATGCTTTGCCTCTTGCCATTCGAACTAACTGAACAAAGAAAATCTCTCAGTTTATATATACATCATGTTACACGTTTCTTCAATAACATCTGTTAACCCTCAGTGGGCACTCCCTTCTTTGATGTTATTACCCTGTGCCCAAGTCAGTATATCATGTCCATCAATCATTCTAAGATAAACCACCAGTAAGCTCCCTTGACATAATGGAATCCTTGTTATTCAGACTGTGCGGCTCCCAGTATCACTTTCTACTAAATTTAACCTGGTTCCTACGACACTGTGACAAGACATCATAACAGTTCTTCAAAGTGTACTCCTATGGGGACAGCCGAAGAACCCTTTCAGGTTCTAGATAACACAATTTTTTTAAAGAGTGTATTACTGCTAGTCTGATAACCTGCTTGACTGCATATGTCTCTGTACGTGCACTCACGCACACTTCAATCCTATTACAGACCTATCATGTCTCTCCTTGTCTCCCTTCAAGATCTCATAGAGATGATGTCTATAGGAACACTACTGGCTTACACCCTGGTCAGTGTGTGTATTCTACTGCTCTGCTACCAGCCCGACACAGACACACACAACTTCCTGCCTGGGGAGAAAGAGGAGGGGCCTAAGAAGAAGGAGGGTGTGCTAGCGGAATGTGATGACGAAACTTCGCCTACCAATGACGACCAGATGTTGATTGGAGGATCAGACTCATCAACCTTTGATCCAGCTACCAATCGAGCAGTGTTGCATGTGAATCTGACGACTCGGGCAGCTTCCACACCGGCCTTCCTCGCTGTTGAAGAGGGTTCTGGGTAGGGGTTACTCCACCCTGCGTGTCCGCCTGGGGATTCCCAACGCCTCGGCCCGTACCACCTAGTTCTCCGGTCTCATGGTGACACGCTGCACCCTCCTCCTCTTCCTCCTCTCCTTCCTCCTCTGGGCCACCGTCATCTTCGGTGTGAAGTGAGGGACCGGAGAGGGCGACGCCGTTTCAGTGATCATAGCAACGCTATCGGAGGGCAAAATTGCAACCCTACTAGTGGTGATCGTGCGCCAGCCGGAGAGTGGTCGGAGCCTGCCCTACTTGGCACCATGCGTGCTGTGCATCCACACGTTGGTCATCTTGGTAAACTCCTACCTGATGATGAAACTGTCGCCTCTCACCTGGGCACGCTTCGCTGTCTGGTGCGCTCTGGGTAAGTTATGCTGTGTCACTTCAACACTTGTCACTTTCTTATTGTGGAGAAGAGAGCTTCCTCTATCCCCCCTCTCACCCTCCACCCTCTCTCTCTCCCCTTATCTTTCTATCCTCCCTCCACTCCGCTCCTCTCCTTCCTTCCCCCCTCCTCTTTCTAGGTGTACTGATCTACAGTTGCTATAGGATGTGATATTATTATGGTCTGTCTCTCTAGGTATCCTGCTATACGGTTGCTATGGGATATGGAACAGCTCCATGGAGATCAGCACCAGAGAGGGACTGGCTCACGCTAGCACCTACCAGCGCTATGACGACCACCTTGACGACACCTTTTCCCCTGACAACGACCTTAACCTCCAGGACAACCAGGAAGAGGGGCGCTACCAGGACTGTCAGCGGAGAAGGGCTACCACTACCAACAGCAAAACCAGGATCAGAACCAGTATCAGGAGAGTGACCAGTACCAAAACCAGTATCAAGATGTGATGTACTCGGAATACATATCCCAAATGAAATAAATGATCTCACTCCAATACATTTTAATAGAAAGTTAGCAAAAATAGATAAGATCTTGCTACCATGGAAAGGTAAATACCTGTCAATTTGTGGAAAAATCCCCCTGATTAACTCTTTAGTATTATCCCAGTTTACCTATTTGCTTATGGTCTTGCCTACGCCTAGCGAACAGTTTTTAAAATTATATGAGAAAAAAATACTCCATTTTATTTGGAACGGCAAGCCAGACAAAATTAAACGGGCCTATTTATATAATGAATATGAATTCGGAGGACAGAAATGATTAAATATTAAAGCATTAGACCTATCACTAAAAGCTTCAGTCATACAAAAGCTCTACTTAAATCCGAAATGGTTCTCTAGCAAATTAGTAAGATTGTCTCACCCAATGTTCAAGAATGGCCTTTTTCCCTTTATTCAGATTACAACCTCTCACTTTCAGTTATTTGAAAAGGAAATAATCCCCCAAATATCACTATTTCTAAAACAAGCCATAGAAAGTTGGTTGCAATTTCAATTTAATCCTCCAGAAACGGCAGAACAAATATTGCAACAAATATTGTGGTTAAACTCAAATATACTAATTGATAAAAAACCATTTTTTCTGACAAAATGTTTAAAAAAGGTATAATCTTCGTAAATTATATTATCGGTAGGACTGGTGGAGTTATGTCGCACACGCAGCTAACAAAAACATATGGAAATATCTGCTCTACCCAAAATTACAACCAAATAATTGCAGCATTACCTCAAAAATGGAAGAGGAAAGTGGAAGGGGGGAAAAAGTAAGGAACTTGTCTGTCGGCCCTGCATTAAAGAACTTAATTGGTTAAAGAAAATTGTGATAAATTAAAAAGTATACCAGTTTCATTTAAGGACCAAATGATTGACAGCCGTCCCATATAGATTGCAAAATAGTTGGGAAGAGATTTTTGACGTACCGATCCCATGGCATAGTGTTTATGAACTGATACGCAAAACAACACCGGATTCAAAATTTAGAATCTTTCAATTTATATTATTATATACAATTCTTGCTACCAATAGAATGTTATTTATATGGGGGATACAATCTTCCCAGCTCTGCAGATTTTGCTGCGAAGACACAGAATCATTAGATCATTTGTTTTGGTACTGTCCATTTGTAGCTTGTTTTTGGACACAGGTCCAGGAATGGCTAAAGAATTGCAATATTTACCTGGAGCTAACCCTGCAGATAGCACTACTGGGTGATCTGAAAAGTCATAGTCAATCGATCAATAATATAATAATACTTTTAGCAAAAATGTTTATTTTCAATTTACAATCTGTAGAAACAATGAGAATAGAAAGGTTCAGAACTTTTGTAAAACATCACAGTACAGTTGAAAAATATATGGCAAATAGAAATACAATATGGATGGTGTTAAGAGATAGATGGGAGGTGTTGAATGGAGCTGAAGGATGGGACTAATAACAACTAACAACAACTAATAACAACAAGATAACTAATGTAAAGCATACTGTGTCCATAATAAGTATATAGGTTATAGGTTGAGAGCTTTTGTGAAAGAGCACAGTTAGAAAAATACAGTATGGCATATAGAAGCAAACCAGATGGACATCATGAAAATGATTGGAGGAAGTTCAGGAGTAAAAACAAACAAAATATAATTATTGTAAAATTTGACTGTGTCCATAAAATGTATATAGTATGTATAAGCTGGAAGTAGAGGCCTAAGCATTGTTGTTCACTAGTTTACTCCAATTAGGGAAGGGGTGGTTGGGTTGGAAAGTAATGAAGGGAAATATAATTTAAAAAAGGATATGCATGTGTGGATGTATATATGTATGTGTATATATATATATATGTGAGATAAAAAACATATTGGGGATTGGAAATGAAGCTGATCTACCCCCGAAAAAAAAAAGATGGCTCCCAGTACCAGGACGGAAACCAGTATGAAGATTGCTTCCAGTAACAGAACCAGTCGGGTTACCAGTCCAGCCCTCAGAGCTCCACTAGGGAATCCAGGGGACAAACCAATCAGGGCTACACAGATCCAGGGACAAACCAATCAGGGCTACACAGATCCACAGGAAACCGAGGGCTCTTCTTCCGCTGCAATGGAATACACCCACTTCCTGGGCACTACACTCTTAGAAAAAAAGGTGCTATCTAGAACCTAAAACGGTCATTCGGCTGTCCCCATAGGAGAACCCTTTGAAGAACCCTTTTTGGTTCCAGGTAGAACCCTTTTGGGTTCCATGTAAAACCCTTTCCACAGAGGGTCCTACATGGAACCCAAAAGAGTTCTACCTGGAACCAAAAAGGGTTCTCTTATGGGGACAGCTGAAGAACCCTTTTGGAACCCTTTTTTCTAAGAGTGTAGAGGAGAGGAAGGGCAGAGGGCTCCTGAATCCCTCATCAACCCCTAGCCCCGCCCCCTACAGTGTACACCATAGGCACTTGAGTAGACCTGAGAGGACAGGACAGGTGATCAATATGGCAGTGATTCCACCTGGCCTATCAAAGGGCAAAATATTGATACCTATCCAATCCTCTTAGATCTACAGTAGTGTCTAGAGGGTCGATTTGGGATTTCAGGGGAAGTGAGAGAGGGAAGAAAGAAGGGATGGACAGATGAGACGATTAACTAATGATGCTGGGGTTTACAGATGAGACGATTAACTAATGATGCAGGGGAGGGAAAGATGAGACGATTAACTAATGATGCTGGGGTTTACAGATGAGACGATTAACTAATGATGCAGGGGAGGGAAAGATGAGACGATTAACTAATGATGCTGGGGATGGACAGATGAGACGATTAACTAATGATGCTAGGGATGGACAGATGAGACTATTAACTAATGATGCTGGGGATGGACAGATGAGACGATTAACTAATGATGCTGGGGATGGACAGATGAGACGATTAACTAATGATGCTGGGGATGGACAGATGAGATGATTACCTAATGATGCTGGGGATGGACAGATGAGATCATTAACTAATGATGCTGGGATGGACAGATGAGACGATTAACTAATGATGCTGGGGAGAGAAAGATGAGACGATTCGCTCTGTGGACAAAGACAAGATGGCGTATTGAATAGAAAGTGGTACAAACCACCTCAAGATAAAAACATAATATTCGAAATCAGTAAGTTACACTAAATATTAGCATTTCATATATTTGCAGTAAATAAAATTCAATCTGGATAATAACACAAAACAAATCATAAGGTTAGAGAAATATATCGATAAATATTACAACAACACGCAACACCCAAACATGGCGGAAGATAAACGAGGAGTACCAATCCCCAAGAGAAAACGCGACTCGTCGACTGATACAGATGATATATGCTTTTCGTCACTGGGTCTGGTAAGTGTGGAAAGCGACCTGTTGAAGTCGATAAATGACAAATTGGGCATACTAGAATTGGTCAGTAAGGACGTAAAAGAGTTGAAAGCGAGTCTTGAAATTAGTGATGAAAAAGTATCGATAATGGAAACAGAAACCAAAAAGTTTAAAGTGACAGTAACTAAGATGGAAACGGACATTAGGGAACTTAAAAAGGAGAACAACCTGAGAGAAGCCTTACTAGACATCCAAACTAGATCGATGAGAGAAAATCTAGTACTTACGGTATTCAGGAAAAGGAGGGAGAAATAACCGAGAATAAATATGAAGGATTTCCTGCATACAGCGCTTCAAATACCACTTGAGGCTGTCGATAAAATCCAACTCGAACGTGTACACCATTTCGGACAAAGAGGACAGAAATATGATCGCCCAATCGTTGCCAAATGTGCATTTTTTAAGGATAAAGCTATGGTTAAAAGCCTAGGAAAAAGACTTGCTGGCACGAAAATAGGCATGAATGATCAGTTCCCGAGGGAGATTGCAGAAAGGCGCAAAGTTCTGTATCCAATCTTCAAGGAAAATAGATTAAAAGGGAAACGTGTGGCACTTGTGGGCGATAAACTATATATTGACAATCAAATGTTCAGAGACACAAAGACTACTCCATGGCTATTCTAAAAGTTGTAATAGCGGAGTTGAATAATGGAACACCCAATACTAGCAATGATAGGGATTGGAATATAAAATAACATTTATAGTAAGTATAGTATTTAAAAAAGGATAAAACGATATAACAAGAAAAGATAACAAGCAGAATAATACATCTTCAAATACAACTAATTAGAACATGGCTTTTTTGGCGGGCAATTGTTGTTTTGGCGGACGTTTGTTGGGGTTGGTCCTGTGTTCTCCCTGGCGTCCTTTCCCCCTTGCGGCAGGTGTGGGAAGTGGGTGCGTTTGCACGCTCGGCCCATTTCCTTCGCAGGTCAACCATGTAGTATGCATTTTTGTGTTTGGAAAGGTGCGGTGTTAATTGAGTGAGAGGGGAAATGGTTGCATATCCTAGAGCCGACGGGTGTCTATGAGCAGGGGTAGTGAGAGAGAGCTTTCAATTTTGTGTAGATGAGGGATATACATTTTTAAATATAGTATACATCTAATTTAATTTGTTATTGTCCTATCATGATGGAAAGATCCCCAACCCTATATCCTGGACACCCACCTGAGTGACCCATACACCAAAGAGAAGTTCCCATCTCTTTTATGGACCTGCTGTGAGTATGCAGCCTAAACAGAGAAATAAATGCGGTCAGAGACCTACTTGAGCAGCACCGCCCCCTCAAGATTCTGAGCCTGCCTGGCAGGGTTGGTCCTACAAAGCCAGAGCCCCCTGGTGGGAGAGCATTATATACAAGGAAATTCTCAAAGCTGCTAATGAGAACCTTAACGACCTTTTACCTAGCCGGTGGGGATTCCGGTGGGGTACCCCCACCCAGGTAGTGGCAGTGCTGGCAACACTG